CTAAGTCAGATAACTAACAAAAATGAGAAAGTAGGTATGTCACAATTAAGACAAAAAATATCATTGAATTTGACACAAAATTCGATCGTTGGCCACAACTATTTTTTTTTTAAATAATCTACTGTTATTTAAATTAGTTATCTAAAGGTAAATTATTCAGAAGCAATAATAAATGTACTTACCACCAATAGAATTTATTATTAAAATTTTCTCAAACGCATGTGCTTATAATATAATAATGTGTTATAGGTACTCGTATATGTACCATGATTGGTTATGTGAACATGGCGAACGGCTACTGCTGTCTGGCCATTTATGATCGACGTCAGAAAACGTTGGCCTATAGCAGAATTCTGTTTTGTTCACATGACTTAGAATTTCTACAATATTATAGAATATTTTTGAACAAAATTGAATATTTTTCATAAGAAGGGATGTAAATTATTACTATTTTTTGTAGAAAAAATTACTATTTTTTGTAGTGATAATTATTAATATTTGTACAAATTTTTTCAGAAGTTAGTAGTAGTAATTACGATAATTGTAATAAATTTCTACTTCTACAAACAATAGTAAAATATACTAAACATTGTGGAATTCTTTCCTATTGTTGTAGCATTTTATTCGACAATTCAATTGCTACAATAATGAATAGTTTTTAACTATAAATTGTAGTAAAATTTTCTACAAATTGTTAAGTATTTTTCTACAAGTCTACTACTACAACATTGTAGTAAAATTTTCTAGTCACATTTTTTCCGTGTACTAGTCGAAAATAAAAATAGAAGGTAATTTTGATAAGACGACCTTTCCCAAGAACACCCACTATATGTTTCACACATGGTTAGTGGGTGGAAACATAAAATGCTCTCAAAGCAAGCAGTAAACATAAATCTAGAAGATGTGAATATAAGAGGCTTTATGGTAAATGTATGTTCACAGGAAGGGCTGCTACCACCTCTACCGTGGTACATGGTCCTCGACACTATCAACCGCCTGAATAATGATAGTAACTACACAATAGCGAATGCAGATGAACTGATCATTCTGCAAACAGGGAATTTTGAGAACATACACAAAATTATAGAAAAGTGGTAAAAGGACCATTCACTGCCTATCAAACCAGAACAAATTCAAAGAACAACATAACAGGAGCCATAAAAACCACCAACCAGAGCCATGAATCTCATTTTTAGTCTAACTACCCTTGATATATACATCAAGAAGGTTGCTTTGATGACAATGACACATCTCCGCACGGTTGAAATGAAACCTGATATAGGATCTGGTGATGCAAGAAGTCGCTTTTGGCATGAGGCGCTCTATATGCTTACACTGCTTCAAGCGAACATGGACTCTAGTTCACCGAGATATATCATCCATGAGCCATATAAAAATATAACAGAACAAATAGAAGACCCGTAAGTGGCAGGTATGATTTATATCTATACCGACGCGACGGTTCTAAAACAAAACAAGGCTTAGGATGTGGAATATACTCCACATCCTTAAACCTAAACATAAAATGGGCTGTGAGCAATAGTGTCAGTGCAGTTCAAACCGAGCTTACGGGGAGTTTCACAGCCCCAAAATAAATTACTGGAAGAAACATGCATCTATACAGAAAGCAGACAAGCACTACTTACCCTGAACAGACCACGGAATTACTTATGGTTAGTACTAGAATGTCACGAAGTTTTGCCCGAAATATCCATTAACATTTGGCCATCTTAAGTTGGATCAAAGGCTACGCCACATCGAAAGAACCGTCTTCCTGATTCACTAGTTAAGAAGGCAGCTAACCAACTATTTTTTGGACCTGACTCTTTTATTAGACGGACAACATTGGTAGTGAGATTCCTAATCAAGGAATATTACATTGAGAAATTCAAGGAGAAAAAGGGGATAAAACAAGAAACTGAAGAGTTGCCATGGATCTTTTAAGTTATCCTGACAACACTACAGCAAACAAATACTTCACTGGACAGAATTTGCAACTGATCACAGGCATTCTGACTAGTCATTACCAAGTACAGAAGCATCTTCATAGCATGGGGCTATCAGAATCCGCATTCTGCAGGGGGCAGATATAAGAGAAGCACCTCTTAGCGAAGTTGTCAATTACATTAAGTCTGTGCCTATCACCTTAGCAGGATGCACAATGGACCTAGTGAGGCCTAAAGTGCCGTGGGGTAACCTACCCTCCACATGTTACAGATATACATATGGATCAGCTTTTTACCAAGTATGGACAAAAAATATTTAAAGGTATCGAATATTTTGTGGTATTAGTTTTTAGCTTTACTTCTAATACCCTGTATATTATTTTTTGTAATTTCTTATTTTATATGAAAATTATATTCATAATGGTTTGTTTTTTATAAGACTTTACTCATTTCATACTACAAATATTAAATTTGTACTGTTACGCACATATCTGTTTTATATTTGTGCTATCTCAACAAGTAATAATTTTATAAAATACCTACATACGTTTTATTTAAACAAAAAGTGATGATAATATAAATCCCTAAGCCTCAATAAACAATATGTTTTAAATAAAACCCAATTGAGTTTTTATTTGTTATAACCTTCTATTAAATTAATTTTTAAAATATTTCTTTCAAAAATACTTCTAATTTTTGTATTACTAAATAATGGCAGAAATATGTAATTGTAATTACTAGTTTGTAGTTTCTAAAACGGTGTCTTATTTATTAATTTGGAAAAAGTTTTCTTATCTGGTTTTAAGGATTATTTACTTTTCTTTAGTGAAAGGGTTTCATAGTACCACAATTTTAAAGTCTATTTTTGTCTTTTTCTAAAACACATGACTTACCCATCTAGTTATTACAGGCTTTTTCTGGTTATTTTGAACAACCTATTGTAGCATCTCTGTAAATGTTTAGAGGTTAACTAAATATATACATTTTCCACGTCTAATACGAAACATTTTTCTATATATATTCATTGCCAACGAAAATACGGAAAAATTTTAATTATACACATTTCCTCCAATTTTTCCATTACGGTTTATTTAAAAAAAAAAATCCTATTAAAAACAAAAATTATAGAAATTTACATATTTTGTCAAATTTCTCGAATACAGACCATTTTAGGAAAATATTGTATGAGGTAGTAATTATAGTGAATAATATTATTAGAAGTTACTTTTATTTGAATAATTTTTTTCTCCAAACAAAAATAACAGATATATTCCATAAAATATAAAAACGATCTCCTATAAAGTACCTTCTTCTTTTTATTCTTCTTCTTCTTCTTCTTCTTCTTCTTCTTCTTCTTCTTCTTCTTCTTCTTCTTCTTCTTCTTCTTCTAAGTTTTTTTATTAAAGTTTATTAACCTACCAAACCTATGTGGCCTGTAGCGTCACGGTTTGTCTCTCAAATCAACTTTTACAAAAATGAGCAAACTAAAAAACTTAACCAATTTACCTAACCTGGGCTATTTAAATTTAGCTGATTGCTCTAGCACAAGTTAGATTAGTTAGTTGTTTTTATTTATTATTTTGTATATATTTATTTTTGTAAAGCAACCATCAAAGACTCTAGGCCGAACAGGTTAGGTCAATTAGTTGTAATTTTTCTAATTTTTTGTATATTTGGTTTTTCGATAAATTGCTCTTTCGATCAATTGTTTTTTCTATCAAATCTATTTTCGATCAATTTTCTTTTCAATCGTTGTTATTTTCGATCATTTTCATTTTCGATTAATTGTTATTCGATAAAATGTTTTTTCGATCAAATGTTTTCGATCAAATGTTTTCGATCAAATGTGTTCGATCAAATGTTTTTGATCAATTTTGTGCCACCCAAAAAAATCAATTAAATTTAATTTTAAAATTAAAAATAAAAATGATATTAAAATTAAAACTAAAGTTACTTCATAAGAAATGGTTTAAGCTACTGAACCTAATCTACCTAACAAGGCATAATTAGAATAATTTAAAGATGAACCAGCTAACATAATAGGTAGTATAAACCCTTAAACTAGAGATTCTTAAAAAATAAAACTGACACATTAAAATTTAAATTTCACCTTAAAAAAAGCCATACAAAATCACAAAAATAATGAAAAAAAAAATGTACAATGTTTAATTTATAACATAAAATGTCATAAACAACTGTTTGATATTAAAAAAATCACGTTAGCTTTATTTTATATTACAACTTTCCATTAACATCTTTGAGTAAATCTAATAGTTCATTATGACATTAATAAACAAAGTCCGTCTCTACCACAGCGTTCGGGGTCACTCTCATCCCAGTTTCCCTACTCTATTAACCTTTCTTTAAAAATTGGCAACATTTGCACAGGTTAAACAATGGTGTATGTTACATCTCTGGCCTCTTTAATCTAGGGTTCATTTTATTATGCATATTACGGGGAGTTTGTTCTGCAGTTATATTTGGTATAGTCTTTAAAATGCAAAAGCGGGGCATAAGGTTCTGATGTTGAGCTTACATCATTGTATATCACATATCATCTCTTTGAATGTTACAGAAGAAGAGGTATGCAAATTGTTTTCAAATTTGTTATTATATTTTTTGCTGAAGTCTACAATACACATATTTCATTAGATAATTCAGTTAAATATCTTAAGCTTTCAAAATGTATCCAACTTTGCATTTTGCGACCGCAGTTCAATTTTCAATAAGAGAAATCTTCTTTGTGATTTTTTATTTTGGAAAAAATATGAAAATTGTAAAAAAAAATAAATAAAATTAAAATTGTTAAAAAAAAAAATAATAAACGAAGATACGTATTTTTTTTATTTTCATATTTTTTTCAAAATAAAAAAATCGGGAACCGAACCGTTATCGCGAAATACAAATATTTCTGTTAACTAGACCTAATCACGATTTTACAGAATCTTATAATAACGAGGCACTGTTATATTATTTATTTTTAGATAAGTATGTATTAATGTTAATTTAGAATGTTTTTATTTTAAAACATATTCATTTATGCTTTTGTATTACCTCATTGTGTTTGTCAATACTTAGACAATAAGCAATAGATATATTCTCTCTCTCTCTCTCTCTCTCTCTCTCTCTCGTATTTAACTCAGCTACAAACTGTGTTCTCGAACTATATTAGTTTAGGTATATAACTATTTTCACATCAACATTAAAAATATCTTTGCAAAAAAATGTTTATTAATTGATAAGTGCGCAGTGTTAATAGTTCGACTTTTTAGACACAAATTAATTTGATAAAAACCAACTAATTGACAAACAAAAATAAATTATTTAATAATTATAAACTAAAATAATTAAAACCAATCCTTAAGAGTTATTAGAAACAAATTCGTAATCCACAGGAAACTTGGCTAAATATTCTATACTAGGTACAAAAATTCTAGAATAATTTTTCATTAAATAGCCCCAGTAACTTAATGTACTACTATCACTAAAAAAGAAGGATCCCCACAAAGTCGATTTCAAAACGTTTTTATCGGGATGGCTACCTGGAAATCCAAATGCATTTTCAGCTTCCAATTCTTCACAAATGCACAGCGTATCGATTTTATCACATACATTAGGCGTGTAAACATCTTGGAGCAAGTTGTCCCCTATGTATAAAAATTTTGGATCGCTACTCTTGCATAGATTTGTCAAAAAAATTTTAACTACAGACCAATTACCAATGGAGTAAATTCCTCCCAGTTGCAGTTGGTTTTCGGAAATTTTATGGGTTTCCTTATACCCTTCTACTCTGAGAAAATCTCTATGAGAGGTAAAGAATCCTGGTTTTCTAGCACCAAAAATGATTATATCGAAATAGTCCTGCCAGTTTTCTCCTATCGTATAAGCAGCAGTTATGTGAGCTGAACCTGCATAAGCTCCTGATATCAGAAATAGTCGTATTCCAGATGATTTGAGAAACAAAAGCCAATTAAGAACGGATTGGCTACATTTTTGATAATATTTCTCCGGATGTCTCCTAATTTCAGGATAATATCCACCTATATCTTGATGAAAATGGTCAGAAACGAACATGTAGAGCAAGCAATCAATAATATCTTGCCAAATTTCTGTAATCTTCTCATGAAGACGGTGTTGTTCTACAGTGTCCACAGCTCTGGCGTACACTAAACTGTTTGCAATGTCGAAATAGTCAAGAGAAAATCTCATTTTATCATTGTAACAACGATTCGAAGCTTCTATAGGATCATCTACATAATCGTCTATAAACTGTCGATGCCGCGTAGGATAGTAATTCAGTAGTTCTTCTTCGTTTAACCATTTTGTACCATGAGCAGCGCTTACAATGGCACCATCGGCTGCTATTTTAACCACATTACCAAATTTATCATCTATTACCAAACCCTTTAATAAAAAATTAGGATCTAACGGTTTTAGTAAAATGTCTCCTGGATAATGTCTTTGTTTTATTAAAAAATCTGCCATTATGTAGTATTCTAATTCTATTAAGTTTGATAATTTGTACCTTGCTAAAGTATTATCCAAATCGAATCCTATGCAGCTGTAGTCTTTTAAACTAAATTTAATCATCTCTTCCATGGTATTTTTAGTAAAATATTTTAAAACTTTTGACACCGAAATAATTGTCGAGAACACTAAACCACTACGAAACACGTTATAATTATAATTATAATTTGAGTTAATAATCTCACTGTGATCGTTGTACTGATACGAGTATAACTATTTTGTCACACTTCTCACATTGTGTCCTGTCATTATAAAAAAAAAGCCTGCAGCGTTGCCAGGTTTATTGTAATTCCTCGCTGAGACCGGTGTTTTAGTTTCAATTTTTAACATGAGGATATTTTGTTTCAGCTACGATATTTTTTTGTCAAAACCAACAATTTATGCTTATACAAGTATAGATGAAACAGTTACAAGAAAATAATAAGGTTTGGAATTTTGATAGTTTTGTTGTAAAAACGTGTCTTTAAAAAAAGCGACAGCTTTTAATCCTCCCTTAGAAACCATGTTTCTTAAAGAACTATCATAACTTTTGCAAATTTGGATATGTTATCGTTAATGTGTCCAAATCAATGTTTTTCATGATTGTTTATCCGAAAAATAATGACATATCGTTTTTCCATTTAAAATGTCATCCGCTTATTTCTTAACGACTAAACCTCAAAGAGATAAATTTATTAATAGGATTGAACATAACATAACAACATTAAACATTTAGTTCGTTTCTATAAATTTTTGTATTAAACAAATTATTTCCATTTTTGAACAATTTTATTTAATTTGTTTCGTTAATATTATTTATTTAAATAAATTGAAGAAAAACCAAAAAACATTTAATCAGTTTTAGAACTTGTTGTTTATAAAAGTACAGGAAATAAGATTTTAATTTTTAAAGAGTCATTAAATATACTGAAAAATGGTTTTGTTCATTTTAAACCGTAAAGAGTACAATACCCTCGCAGTTACAATAAAACTTAATCCACAATATCCTTTCTTCTATCAAAAACCCCCATTTACCATTTTTTAAAGCAATACGTTAAAATATAGTTACAATATTTATAAAATTGTTATTTTAAAATTTAATTTGAATGCCCTGTATCTTTAAAATTAATTGACTGCCGCCCTATATTTATTGACACTTGTTGTATTAATTTTCAATTTTCTGTTGTGTATTAAAGTCCTGTTACAAAAGACTCAAAACATCCTATAGGTATTAAACCCGGAAATCCCACCCACCCTCCTATTCATTAGCAAATTATTATTACCGAATTAAAAGTATTCAGTCTGGCAACATTGTTGTCTATTTTAATAAAGCACTTGACAATAGATTAATACGAGGGGAACTTCGAAACGTTATTCAAACTAATGTACGGGAGGCGCGGCTTGAAAACAAAAAATGCAAGTTTATTTTCGAGGTGTTTATTAGCTATTTATGAAACCAGTTAGGAAATAGCCTATTTCATGTAACGAGTTAATATTTGAGTAAAAGCAGAGTGTGACTCCGCAACATGAACGAGTTACATAAAACGGCATTTCGTAACGTTTTACATACAATATTTTTTCTGATTTTGACCAACAATTTATAAAATTGTGTTTTGGTAAAAAATTAGTCACATCTAGGTAACCAATATTACTACTTTCTTGTATTGCTAGTTACATATTGTCAGGGCCTCTCCGTCGTGATGGAGTCTTTTTAAATAGTGACTCTATGTGCTACCTGACATGGGGAAATAAAAAAGCAGAACAACAATGAAATATTGATTAAATATAAATAAAATATCCAAAAAAACACTTCTTCTATTGAGATGCCAAACGATGATGAGACTCAAACTACTAGTGTCGGATGAGACTCCGGCAGAGAGTCTAAAGTGTCATTATTGTTCACCCAGCCGATTTTTATATTAATCGATTAAGGTCAGTACGTGTCTAGTCCAATGTTATATTTACTTTCATCAAGGACGGACTTATGAATTACATCTAATGTTTATCAAAATATTGTTACGCAGCACCCTGTAGCGTGCTGCGGTCGTCATAACTAAAGGTACGAGTAAATGACGAAGATAGAATAGTCCAGAAATGTCTCGAAATGTCATTCCTTGTCAAAGAAAAGTCCGGATTGTTCGATACGGTTCTAGAAGGTCGAGGCAAGCTATATAAGTCGACGACCTGACGTCAGAGTTCAGTTTTATGATAGACGTTAAACGTTAATGTTATCAGTTGGATAGTCATTGTTAAATTTGAATTGTAGTTATTGTAAAAGTTGAATTGAAATAAATTGTGATACCAAAAAACCTGCGTAACAATATTATATAAAATATTATGCTGAATTATTTAATTTAACGAATGTATATTAAAATTGAAAATGTATATTTTATATATAGGGTGTATTTGTTTAGCGTGGCGTATTTTTATTGAAAAAAGGAACATATTATTAATTATTCCTCAGAATATACAATGGTTATGGTAGTTGCGTGAACATTGGTCAAATATTTATGAGTATAAAGATTGTTAAATTTTATTAAATAAAAATGATACATTGTATTCGCACAAAGCATTTTTGATGTGTTAGAAGAAAAAATAGCTGTTCATTTTAAGGCTATTTTCGCGGTTCACTATTTTAGCATTATCCATGTATCTTAGTTATGTATTATTAGTATAATTTCATTTTTAGCTGTCTTTTAATTTTTTTGTTACGTCCTAGTTTTTTAAATAAAAATTAAAAACAAATATTAAATTTTATCAATTTTTGGAAAACTGTAGTTTGTAGCTGATTTTTTTACTATTTACAAGTTTTTGCTAAAATCAAAAACTAATTGAGTTTTGTAGTAAACCATTTTTTCCAATAATATTTTTATGTCGAACTTGTTAAAATATTTCTCTCTTTATCATATACCTGTAACCAACGGTAGCCTGGATTAGCAAATATAAAGTGAATCGGCCAGGGTCTAACTCGCTCTTTTGATTGTAAAAATTTAGCATAATATATTTTGTAAAATATGAAATAAAAGTCGTGCAGTTACTAGTGAGAGGTTAGACTATTTTTATTATATATTTTACTATAGAAAAAAAATTAATTTGATCGATATGCGAATATGATTTTTATTGATTAATTTCCAAATTATATCGGAATTCTTGAATATTTTGAGAAATATCGAGTCGAAAACAATGGACAATTTTTAAAATATTCCTAAGAACAGATTATATTAATTTTTAATTCATTGGAAATATTATAAAAGTAACCTCTATTATTTTACTAATTTCAAATCCTAATGTACTAACACCCCAACTTTTTATTTGAAATATTAGTTAGAAACTTAATAAAACATTGTTTCATGATATCTGCAATTTTTTTCTTTATTTCCAAATATTGTTTTTGGGCGTGCAATATCTCGATAACACGCGGTCCGAGCGCTTGATTTCAAATACTGGGACCGCGTGCTAACTGCAGATAACTCATTTTCTTGAGCACAATATCACACTCACCAAATGGGATAGATCAAAAATGAAATAGAAAAACCCCAAGTCATCATTGACTATATTAAATATAAAGCCTCGCATTAAATGAAAGCCTACGTGTCTAAAAAGAGGAACTAAATGGTATATAAAACTAGCAACCGAAATCAGGTTTGGTTTAACAATGGTAAATGCTTTCATAGTATATAAAGATTTTACACAAAATAAAATATTGATCACGAAGTTCAAAGAACTTTTAGACATGGCTTTAGTTACCATTGAGCCAATTGATGGCCAGAAGAAAAAGAAGAAGAAGAACACTGTTTGAGATCTACAGAAAAAAGCCATTAGATATAGGATTTGCTATATTAGAACCAAAACTCTGCATGGACGGTTTGCGGCTCAGTAATGTGTGAGATCAAAGTATGAGTGTGTAGTTTGCAAAAAAGATTATTTACAGCTACTGAAAAATCACATCACAAGATAAATGACATCTCATTTTTTTTTTGTAGCCCCCATGCTGAACCCGCTATTATCGACGAGTTACCAGGACCGCTAACTACAGCAATCTATATTTAGCATTGTTAATGTGCGTCCTGTCGATATTACAGCTGTGAAAATATCAATATTATGTGTGCTATCTGAAGTTAACACGCGGTCCTAGGGAAAAATAAAAGTGTGCTAACTATAGTTAGCACGCGGTCGTTAAGGTGTTAAAGCAGTTTGGGAGGCCATGGAACAAGCAGGACTGGAAGAATTGCAATTAGCAAAAGATATTGGAGAAGTAGATAAACAAGGAAATGGTCTAATTGCATTGATCGTTCACGATGCATGGTCTAAGCGGTCATATAAAGTTAATTATAACGATTTAGCTGGAGTTGTAAATTTATATTTTAATATTATAACGTGTGACCCAAAAACAATGTTTTTTTTTAAGAATCCATGACCGACAGAATTGTGAAGAATCCGTCATTCGTGATTTTTTCATAGTCTATTGTAAAAACATTTTTATATTTGACATAACATATAAAGAGTTTATTTTTAAATGCACTTATTTTTTACAGGCTGTATTATTGGGGCGAAAACTGGAAAAGTTTTGTATGTTTCTTTTAGAAGTATTGTCCAATCTGTGCTCGAGCTTTAACTAAAAACATAAAAGCTGCAACTCATAAATGTTCAAAAAATTGGGATGGTTCGTCTACTTCTATGGAATCAAAACTAATTTTAGAAGAATTCCGTAATAGTACAAAAATGCACAAATTAAAATATGGCGATGTTTACCAAAAAATTTGCATAGAGAGACCCTACGGAAGAACAATGGTCTGCAAAGTAGAATGCATAAACCATCTTCTCAGGAATTATTACACAAATTTGCGTGATCTTGCAAAAAAAATACAACTCAAAAAATAAAAAAGTAAGTCCAGGACTAAAAAAGAATTTTGAGTGATATGATTTTGAATTTACGAGTGGGAATTAAATCGGGTGTAAATTACCACAGAAAATATACCAATGATATTGTTGACAACGTGAAGCAATGAACTGCAGACATTAACTCTCCTTACCACACATTTGGAAATCATTCAAACTGTGTACACTATTTTTGTAAAAGAGAACAAAACGACAGAGATTATGTGACAGAAATGGAAGAATGCGGAATAATGGATGACATTGTAGTTCAAAAAAAGCCACAGTTTATCATTAAACATGCCTAATAATGCTGCAGAGACATATAATTCAATCGTAGCCAAATTTGTTGGAGAAAAGACATAATTTT